CCCTGCACTCGGGGATTCAGGGGTTCGGGCCCGGCTCCCTGTGTGTGTGTCTCCCCCACCCCCCCCGACTTGCAAGAAGCCCCATTTGCAGAGGCCGCGTCCGGCTGCGAGGCCTGGTGTGGCTTTGGTCCCTCCTGTCCACAGGAGGATGCGTCCCCTGGCGCTGCGGCTGCTGCTGGCAGGACAGTGTAGCCTCGCCGGCCCCGCCCACCGGCCTGAGGCCCGAGCCTGAGCCCTGCTCCCGTGTGAGCCAGACAAAGGTGACCTCTAGACTCTCGGTCTTGGAGTGCAGGGCAGAGAGCGCTCAGGCGCTGGGGCGTGCGAGTGGCTTGTCCTCGCTCCCTGGGCGTGACTTCCCACTTGGATCCTCTGTGCCCCGGGCCACTGCTCTGAGTGGGTGGGTGGGGTGCCGGGAGGCAGGATGTGCTGTGTCCGCCTCATGGCCTGTGGAGCCCCTGGGGCCCAGACTGCGCAGACGGGAGGCGTGCATGTGAGCACAGGGAGCAGTGAGGGGTGAGCAGGCCGTGACCTCGCTCCCCTGCAGGAGCGCCGGGTCCCAGGCGGAGCGGTGGCACCCAGACCCTCCCCGTTCCCTCAGCTCTCCTGTCCCGGCTCCAGGCCTTGCCCAGGTGTCCGGAGGCAGCTGGCAGCTTGTTTTACGGATCAGGGCTCTTCCCTGGTCCTCTGGGGGTCAGGCTGCGTGCTCCCACGGCCCACCCAGGAGGGGACATCCGTGGGCTGGGAGCCTCCCCACCGCCTCTCACACCCTGGGGCGCCGTGGACGTGAGCATGGTCCACGCAGCCCCCAGGGCCACGGGTGCGGGAAGGACGAGTGTGGCAGACGCAGGTGCTGCATCCGCACGTGGGGTTATTGCTCGGCCTGGAAAGGAGCGGAGCCCCCACACGCTGCGGCCGGTGGGGCAGCCCCAGGAGGCATGTGCGTGCTGCGGCCGGGGCTGCCTCTTGCGCCCTTGCCCACAGGACCAGCACCATGACCTCTTTGTCTGGACGTGGTCACTCAGGCCTGTGAACAGCTTCCTCATTGGAGGTGTCGTCCGCCTGCTGTGTCATCCCCCCGTTTAGAATGCAGCTCAGTGATGTTCCGTAGCTCACAGGTGTGCAGCCATGACCACCGTCCGCGTTGGGGACAGCGCCCCAGCTCCTCGCTGCCCTGAAGGCTGCTGGGTGCCTTCCCATCCTGCTGCTCTTTGATTGGCAGCGGAGAACCCAGTCCCAGGCCAGGCCACCAGGTGGCGCTGACATCCCGCGGGGCTCCTGCTCACAGACTCGCAGCCCTGGGTTCCTCCTCCGCTTCTCGCCTCGTCCTGTCTCCGACGTGCGGCCTCAGGAAGGGGTCTTCTCAGCCGCTCAGGGGGCTTGGGGTTCTTCTGAAGAGAACATTTTAGGGCTGTTTGCATGGCTCCTACCCTCCGTCTGATCCTCCCGCTTGTCTGTCTGTCTCTTCAAACGACAGACAGGCTAGCGGGCAGTCCCAGCGTAGCAGAGGCCAGGCCTCGGTCTGCTGGCCCTTCCCATTGCCTGTGTCATCTCACAGCTCTGCCGTCGTGGTCCGTGCGTCAGGTGCCGCCACGGAAACTTCGTGCCTCGCCCTCGCCAAGCCCGCACCCCTTCCCCTTCCCCTCCTGACCCCCAGGCTGTGCAGGCCTGTCCTGCCAGCACATGTGTGTGTGCATGTGTCAGTGTCGCGCATGTGTGTGCCACGTGAATGTGTGTGCGCACGGTGTGCGTGTGTGTGCCACGTGAACATGTGTGTGCACGGTGTGTGTGTGTGTGCACGCATGCAGAGCAGCACCAGGTATACTGAGTGTTTCTCCCTGCGGCTGTGGGTGTGATTGTAAAAGCAGAATTCAATGTGACCTCTGAGAGCCAGGAGGATCTGGCTGTGTCCACAGGGGACAGTTTCTGAAGGACACTCATGTCCAGTTGCTGGGAACACGTGGGGGGGTGCCCTTTGCTCTCCACTGGCTGGGGGGGGGGGGCGATCGCCTCCTGAGGTCATGGGGTTATAGCCTGAGCTGTGGTCGCCACATTGGCAGCTAGGAGCCTGTTAGCAGCCTCCTGTCATGGCACAGACCCAGTTCCTCCCTCAGGAGCCGGGGGTGGGGGGCGTGCGGGGGGCTCCCTCTGACTCTGTGGTCTCGCTGGCTCCTCTGCCCTGAGGCAGGTCCGTCGGCGGCCACTGCGGGGAGCTCTGCATACGCGCCTGCTCAGCTGCAAGTGGTCACCCTGGAAGGCGTGTCCAAGTCACTCCTGCTTAGAACTTCCAGGTGCGCACGCTGGGTGCTGCAGCAATGAGCATTCTTGTTCCCAGGTTCCCACCCCTCCCCTCCTTCCTGGGCCACAGTGCAGCGCTGGCCGCTGGTTCCTGCGCCCGCAGCTCTCGGACGCTCCCTCTGAGGCCCCTGTGCCCGTGGGGACCCCCGGCTGGTTCTGGAGCACAGACTTGGCCACCTGCTCCGTGCCCTGTCTCCTGTGAGCAGCAGAGTTCTCGGGGCCTAGGAATCCCTCAGGACACGTCACCCCACGGCCCCCCCAGCCGCACGTGGAACACGGTGCCACGCACCCCTCTCGTGCAGCCTTGGCGCCTCGTGTGTTGCTTTTTTCTTTCAGTTGATTTTTAGAGAGAGAGGAAGTGAGGGGGGAGAGAGAAACATCAATGGGTTGCCTCCTATGCACACCTCTCCTGGGGATCGAGCCCACAGCCTTGGTGTTCAGGACAACACTCAATCAGCCGCGCCCCCGGCCAGGGCTGCATATTCGTTATTAATATACGGCGGGAGTGTTAAAATCACTGCGTCGCTACTCACTTGCTCATCCAATCTCCAATGTCCTGAGTGCTTACTGTGTGCAGTGACGGAGGGCGCTGGTGAGACAGGCCCCTTGCAGGGGGACATGGGGCTCCCACACTGGCCGGAGGCAGCTGGAGCCCCCGGGATGCCCCCAGGTCTGCTCCACGGAGAGCCGCAGGCCACAGACTCGCCGGCCTCTGGCCAGCGGCCGGGAGGGAAGGACCCACAGAAAGAGCCAGCAGGGTGACCGGACGGTAGGAGGCGAAGTGCCAGCTTGTGGTCCTGCTGTGTCGTCCTCTCAGATACGTCGCCTAACCTCGGAGACACAGATTTGAGCATTCAGAGGCTGGAGAATGAGTATCAAATAATTTAATAGTCTCCCAATGTGTGGGACTTTCTTCAGCAGTTTCTCAAATACATAGAACTTCAGGCAGATGGTGTGGCCCCCGGGGCAGCTGTCACAGCTTACAAATGAGGAAGCCTCCAATTCCAACTGATTTTAAATTCAAGAACTTGACATGCAGTATAACTTCTTGTGAAGCATGACAAGGTAGATGAGTTTTTGTGAACAAAAGTAAGATAATTAACTTAAAAATTACAATAGTCGAGTGCTGGTAGAATGAGTGACCTTGGGCATAAAGTGAGAGCTTGTATCCTGGCATCGTGCAAACTCAAACACAGGGTTGGTCAGTTAAGAAAGCAGGACTGAGTCCACACTGTTGGCTACTCCCAATAGCTCCTCGCTCTCCTCTGCGCAGCGCAAATTCCTCCCATGTTTTGGCAACGTGGCGAAAGCGCCGGGTCAGACATTCCAGGAAGAAGGGCAGCGTGAGCCTGCGGGTCATCCAGGTGTGCGGGGTGGGGTGAGCACAGGCGTGGGGCGGGGGCGGAGAAGGTGGAGGTTTCTCCTGGTGCCCAGGTGAGCGGTGGAGAGGGTCCCTGTGAGAGGGGAGGGTCTGCCATGGGGCCCAGTCTGCCCCGGCTGGTGCCCCACCAGGAGGAGCTCTCAACGCCGCGGACACTCTCCTGCGCAGGTGGCCTTTGGGACAGAGCCAGCAGCCCTCCCAGGCCCCCAGGAGGCCCCCAGGAACGAGCCAGTTAGTAGCCAAAACCACTGAGAAACTGAACATTTAAAAACGTGATTTGAGGCTCCCTTCCCTGTTTGGGGAAGAGCAGCTGGGCTGCAGGTCAGGGCTGTGGGCAGAGCTGGGCACTCAGGATCCCCTCGCCCAGGGCTCCTGTGCGGGAGCAGGGGAGACAGACAAAGAGGGGCTTTTATTTATACCCGACCGGGCTCCCTGACCAGGGCCCGCTGTGCCTGGGGGGCCCCGTGGCCTTGGCCTGGAGCCTGCAGACTGAGCAGCAGCAGCAGCCGCGTGCAGGGGAGCGCCGCCACAGCTGCACTCTCACACCACTGGGTCCCCAGGTGGAGCCATGACAGGGGGCCCCTCGTGCAGCCTGGTGCCTAGGCTGGAGGGGGTGGGGTTGGCCTGGGCGGGGCACAGGCTGTGCCTGGTGCGGAAGGACTGGGCCGGGAGTCCTGGCACTTCTCGGGCAGCACGCACGCTCCGCGCTACCCTGGTCACACCTGTCTCGGGCTCGTCTCCAGGCCGTCAGCGCGGGAGGGGCACCCAGCATCACGTCACTGTTTCCTCCCAAAGACACGGCACCGCTTCACATCAGGGTTTGCTACCAAATGAATTGGCTGCAAACTTGAAAAATCTTTCTGTTCATAGGCTTTTGGGTTTCGAAACTGGCATCAGAGGGTTACGAGCCTGTATTCTGTCATAAGGACTTGGGGGTGGCGAGGGGGGGGCTCCGTCAAGTGCAAAGTGGCTGCTGACAGAACAGCCTGGATGGAGGCAGGAGGAGGGTGAACCCCGCTGACCTCCTCCGACCCCATGCAGCCACTTCTCGAACGTAGGCCAGCCTCACTCCGGTCACGCAGCGTCAACTGACGCGGACCTGGCAGCCAGTGGTGGCGGCAGCGTGGGGGCCAAGGTCTGTGCTTGGGAGCGAGGTCACCTGCCGTCCCAGCCTCCAGACCAGGCGCTCAGTCCCGGGCCCCAGGGGGTCACCGTCCCACGTGGGACACGCACGCCCTGACCTCGCCCTCGACAGGACCCTGTGGTGGCCCCGGCCGCGCCCCATCCACGTGTGTGCTGTGTCCTGTTTCCTTCATTTGAAGGCTTTTCTTTCAAGCATCTTTTTATAAACAAACCTAAGGTGGGGGATCAAGCATTCCAACAACACAGAGTATAAATACTGGCTTTCATTTCCATCACTTCATTCGCGAAGCCCCGTGGGAGGGCGCTGGGGGGACGCCCGCCTCCAGGTGCCAGGCCGAGCGCAGCTCCCCTTCGCACAGGCACTGGGTCCAGAGCACAGGCCTGTGCTGTTGTGTGTTCTTGCCTCGGCGCTTCCCCGCGGGGACAGCAACAGAGCTACGGGTGGCAAAGTGCTGTGACTGGCTGAGCGCCGGCCCCTCCTCCCCCGGGACTCGGACCCGATCGGTGGGTGTGCACTGAGCCCGCGGCGCCTCTGGGCTGGCCCCGTGCTGCTGGCCGTCTATGCCAGCACCTGCTGGACCCCCGCCTGGTCCGCGGAGCAGCTCTGGCGCCCGCAGGGCATCTTCTTGACCAGCCGCCGCAGCTTGCCGGGGAAGCTCCTGTTGAGGCAGCGGTACAGCAGCGGAGTCACGGCGCTGCTGGAGAAGGCCAGGCACCGGGACAGGTCCTTCGCGAAGAGCAGCGTCCCCAGGTGCTGCCCGGCCACCGCCCCCCCGCGCAGGGCCAGCGACGTGTGCCCCAGGAGGGTCAGGTAGTGCGGCGTCCACAGCCCGAACTGTGTGCACACGGTGGCCACCAGGAGCCTGTGCACCGAGGGGTCCAGCCTCCCCGAGTCCTGGTCGAGGGGCGTGTCCTCCTTGCGGATCCGGGAGATGAGCACGAGGGCGTAGAGCACAGCCAGGCCGGGCACCAGGTACCCGATGAACACCATGATGGCGTCGGCGGCCTCCGGGTGCTGCATCTTGGCGCACTCGACGATCCTGGCCGCCACGTGGCTGCAGATGTAGAAGAGCAGGGAGGAGAAGCTGGTGAGCAGGGCCCCGCCCCAGACGAAGCCGCACACGTGCCGGCTGTTGTAGACGCTGGACATGTAGGTGCGCGGCAGCGCCCGCTCGATGTAGTAGTCGAGGCTGAGCAGGGCCGTGGAGTACATGGTCACCAGGGAGCAGACGTTGAACAGGACCAGCAGCGTCACGTGGGCCTCGCTGCTGAAGCCCCACAGGGCCCACCCGGAGGCGCTGGGGCCCAGCAGGTGCGCGGGCGCCAGGGCGCTGAGCACCAGGCCGGCCACGGCCATGTTCACGAAGTAGACGTCGGGCATGGTCATGCTGCCCTGGTCCTGCAGGTTCGCCAGCACCAGCAGCGCGTTGTAGCCCAGGCCCACGGGCACGCCGACTGCCAGGTAGAGCAGGGAGAAGGCGGACAGCACCAGCTGGGAGTGCTGGCAGAGGGGCTGGTCCTCGCCCCGGCCCGTGCCGTTGAGCGGACCGCAGCTCCACATGGCGCTGGGGCAGCTGGCTGTGGGGAGAGCAGGGAGGTTAGTCGTCACCTGGACCCAGAGCCCCAGGCCTGCAGGTCCCCAGAGAGCTGGGAACCCCAGAAACGGAGCCTTTTAACAAGGAAGCTCCATGAAAGTCAAGTGTCGCCGCAGGTGCTACCCAGAGCCCGAGGGCCAGGCTAGGAAGGCCAGCGCGGCAGGGATGCTCGGGGCCACAGACCCGTCCCTGAGGAGTCTGAGCACCGGGCCACTTGCCCAGGCTGCTCCTGGGGCTCGGCCCCCACTGGCTCACCACCACAGTGGCTGGCAGTCAGGGCCTCTCCCCCGGGCGGGCGCCCTGCAGCCCCTGCTGACCTGGGCCGGAGCCCTCGGGCCTCTGCTCAGTCCTGCCCCTGCCCTTCACCCAGCTGTTACTGGAAAGGGATTAAGAACACAAAGTGCCCTCGGACGCTGGTGGCCCAGCCAGGGCCCCTCCAGGGGAGGCAGGGCCTGCCTGCGGCCTGGCCTCCCAGCCAGCTCAGCCTCATCAGCCCCTCCCGCTCCAGAGCCACCTGCCAGGGGAGCAGGACTGAGTGATGGACTGAGTGAGGGCGCAGCCTCTGGGCCAATGAGGACACAGCCGGCCTTCTGGCCTGAATCTGGACTCTTCACCACACGCGTGGGAATCGACAGTCCCTCTGCCCGCGTTCCCTGTCTCTCACGGTGCCTGGGTAGCACAGGACGCCGCACAAGCAGCCCGAGAGCGGGCAGAGGCGCTGGGCGCTGGTGCACGGTCACGGTGAGCCTGAGCCTCAGGGAGTAGGAAGCGCTGCTCTGGGAGATGCCCGCACCAGGGGCTGGAGACCTGAGGGACCTGCAGGGGGCGGGGTGACGTCGCCTGTGGGAGCCTGGCCCTGTCCTCCGCATCACGGGCCGTGCACGCCCGGTCCGGGTAGCCTGTCTGTCCAGTGCGTGGGAGGCCTGGGTGGGCTCAGCACTGGCATCGGAGAGAACTGGCAGGAAGAGCAGATCCCCCTCTTGGGAGGAAAAACTTAGGACCCGATGTAGTTTGGCCCAAGCACCTGTGCTCGCAGGCCAGGTGAGGGCCGCTCAGCAACACTTGTGTCCCAGGCTCAGGCACAGGCACAGTCAGCCCTGCCGGGGCACTGCCCCCTGGGTGCCATGGACAAAGGGCTCTGCCGCCTTGGGTCCCGAGCCCGTCCCGTGGCACGTCCCACAAACCTTTCCCGTGTCTGCCACGCCCCACCACCGTGCCGGGGAGGGAGGGGGGTGCCGAGACAGGGGTCAGCGCCCCCGCGCCCTCTGACCGCCATGGGGCAGGCGGGAGGGACACCGAGTGTGTGGCAGTGTCCTCACAGCCTCGTGAGCGCCTCCCAGCAGCCCGAGGAGGGGGGTGCAGGCACAGCCTCGTGAGCGCCTCCCAGCAGCCCGAGGAGGGGGGTGCAGGCGGTAACGGAAACGCGGGGCAGCCCCGCTCTGCCCTCTCCCCCTGCACAGTGCTCCTCGGCCTGCGGGGCTGGATTCCAGGGGAGCAGGTGTGTCAGGCAGCGTCCCCCATGGCCCTGGCGCCTCTGGCACAGCTCAGGGGAAGCTTGGCTGTTCACACACTGTGGGAGGAGCCGTGCGCGGCTCCCTTCAGCTGCCTCCCGCAGCTTCCCTTCTCCCGCTCCCCAGCGAGCCTGTGAGCACATGGTGCAGGTGTGTGAACGCTGTCTCCTGTCCTGGTGCCCCTCCCTCTCAAGGCTCCTGCTGAGCCAGGAGCGTGGGTGTGGGGTTTGTCCACCTGACCTCGCTGTTCCCGTCCCCAGCAAACACTGCCTTCCTGGGGCCACCCCAGCCGTCCCGGCCTTGCCGAGCTGCACACCCCAGGGCCCCTGGAGTCTACCAGGGGGTTCCCACCTGACCCATGTCACACACACCCCTATGGGGGCAGGAGGTGGGATCGCAGCCCCTGGGAGGCAGGCGCCCACTGTCACTGGAACAGGTGGCGTCTGTCCCTGGGGGTCCGCTGCCAGGACACAGCCCAAGAGATGCGCTCTTGGTCCCACAGGCTGGCCCTTCTCAGGCCATTGCCGGCTTCCTGCCCTCACCTGCCCCGTCCGTGCTCACGTTCTGAGCGCCGGGCCACCGTCTCCTCGCAGCAGCCCCTGCTCCCCTGGCAGGTCCGAGGCCCCCCCCAGGCTGTGTGCAGCCCGTTTCCTGCAGCCGGCGGCTCAGGCGGCTCTGTCCCCACTGCGGGCGGCCCGCACGCCCCAGCCCGTGTGTGGGGCTCGCCGGGCGAGGAGCTCCTCTCACCTGCAGTGAGCCGAGCGGACATTTGAGCAGAAACTCAGGACAGTTGTACCTTCTGGACACACGTTGGGCCTCGGTCAGTGCTGTCCCTGGGGTGGGCGGGGCACAGAGCCAGGAGGCAGCAGCACAGCCTGCAGGCCCGCCTGCCCCCCCACCCCAGGGCCCAGCCACGGCCCAGGCACTGCACCCCGCAGCAATGGCTGGCCTCGAGCAACCGTCCGGTTCTGGCCCAGGCGGGCTGGTTCTTGGGAAATGGTCACGTGGGATAAAATCCGTAGAGAATTTCCTGGAAGCAAGGGGGACAGGCGGGGACTGTGCGCTGGGCCTCAGAGCAGAAACGGCCGCGTGCGTGCGTGCTGGCAGCTCGTAAGCATCCCGTCCATGTGGCCTCCTGCACCAGCGGGAGGGGAGGGCCTGGCTTCAGGTGCAGGTTCGGGCTCCAAGGCCCCGCTGCCCGCTCGCTTTCAGTCTGGTGCTGCCCACGGGCGGGCGGCGGGGCCCCTGGTCCCCCCAGGTGTGAACAGGTGTCTGGCACGTTCTAGAGTGCGGACCTCTCACTCTTACCCTGTGAGCTCGCGGGGTGGGGGCGGGGAGGCAGGGTTGCTGGACTTGGCCCCACCCCTCTGCCCCCATTTCCCTGCAGTCACTCCCCTTCCCTCCTGGCTCTGGTTCTGTGAGTCCGGAAGGAGCTGCCTGGCAAGAGGGGGGCCAACAACAACGCTCGGCCCCTCCCCCTCTCCCCCCACCCCCCTCCCCTCAGGCACAGGCCTCGGCAGCGGCAGCCGGATTCCAGGTACCCAGCCTGTTCCTTCCTGAGACAGGAACTCACAACTCAGCTGTGCAGACCCGGCTCCTGGAAGGGCCTCTCTGCTTCTTGGTCCCCTGACAGGACAGGAGAGAGGGGGCGGCTCCCTCCAGCCGCGGGCGCTTCTGCAGAGCGCCTCCCCGTGCCAGCCGGCGTCCTGCCAGCCCTCGGCTGAAGGGCTCTGGTTGAGAGGGCTCCGGTGGCGTGCCGGCCCAGCCTTAAGAACAGGCCTGCTCCTGCCCCCTCTCCCTCCTCCGACCAGGCCAGGCCCTCGGTGCTGCCCCACCTCTGGCTACTGCCTCTGCCAGGTCACCTCCAGACTCACTGGCCGGTTTGGCCACCTTCTTCCCATTCTTATCACTGACCCGCCCACTCCCTGAAACCCTCCCCCACGATTCTTAGGACTGGCGCCCACTTGCAGTGGCAGCCTCGTCCACGCCCGTGTCCCATGAGACACCGGGAAAGGCAACCTGCTGTCTGTCCGGACTGCACCCCAGGCCCATGTCCCTGGCTCTATCCCTGGCCTCTCCGTCCTGCCTGGTCCGGGTCCCTTCCCCACCTCACTCCGTGGGGGCAGGACACAGGAAGTGTCTGTGCTGCCTTGGGGCATGTCCCGTCTTCATGGGGGGGAGGAAGGGGGGCCGCCAGGGGGAGCGGGGAGCAGCTGCCCTGCAGGAGGGTGCTGCCATCCGCGGGGGGTGCAGGCACCCAGGCTCCCCAGTGGGGGGGGCTCCTCTTCGTGAGGAATGAGAACGCACTCGCCCTCCCTGCCCAAGCTGCCAGGGGGCCATGGGGCTTGGGAATCTTTAAAGGGATCAGAGCTGTGGTCAGTTCCTCTGGGCCAGAGGGGCCGTCCCACATTCCGAGGAAGGCCAGGCAGAGGTGGCGAAGCCAGCTGCCTGATCAGAAGAGCCGAGTCCACCTGTGTCCCCTGATGCCGAGTGCTGCCCACAGCCTCTCTACTGGTGAGCGGTGGCCTCGGGCCGCCATCACGGCCACCCCAACGAGGGACCAGGTGAGCGGCCGCGGCACCAGGCATTGCCTCTCTGAGCATCGCTGGATGTCCAGCCCCTAAGCCCTCCCGGAGCCTCAGAGGGACTGCATGTCGTCAGCTGAAGATGGTCCCTCCTCACACAAAGGGGCTCCTCCAAGGCCGCCTGCACCCCACCACCCGGTCCTCCAGGTGCTGTGCTGGCCGGCCAGGCCTCCGCCCAGGGCCGCCGGTGCTGCGGTGCCTTCGGCCGCGCTCCCTCCTGGGCTGGTGGCGGGCTCTTTCCGGGTCCTCAGTGCTCTGGGGCGCAGGTTGGAGGTGTGTGACTCCAGAGCAGGCCACACTGGCCGCTCTCCCTGCCGGCCTGGAGGGCTGTGGAGGCGAGTCCGGCTGTTCCCTGCTCTGCCTGGGCCTAGCAGGTGCTTCTGCACCTGTGGTTTCTTCCTCTTGGGCACCTGCAGGCCTGAGCGTGCTGCCCCTTCGGGAGCCTGTCGGACGCTTGAAGGCCCGGGCTCCCACTGCAGCAGCGGCGGTGACAGCGAGTCCGCGTGCGGCTGAAAGGCCCTGTGGGACAGGCCACACAGGCTCTGCCCAGCACCTGAGTCCCAAAAGACCAAGCGGGCACCTCGAACAGCAGCCTCCCTGGTCCTCGGGTGGGGCCAGAGGTGGCAGCACTGTCCTCTCCAGGCGAGAAGGCAGCTCCCAGCTGGCCTCCGCCCTGGCCAGCGCGTCCTCCATGTGAGGGAGCTCTGAGCAGGGCTCCACGGTGACCGAGGCTGCTGCTGCGCAGGCCGCAGAGCGCCCAGTTGGATTTATCAGTGCGGCATGCAGAGCACAGGGTGCCTGGCCGTCCCTGGTGTCGGGGTGAGGAGGGTGCGGACCCCTCCCCAGACCTTCCCCACAGGCAGCTGGGGGGGGGACTCGGTCCTGTTCACTGACACATGCGAAGAGAAAACCAGGGAGGGAGGGACGAGGGCGTGAGACCCGGCACAGCCACGTGCAAGTCCTCCTGGGAGAGGACCCCGAGAAGGGCATGCTGGGGGCCCCGCTGCGCCCGGCACAGGCAGAGGCCTGGCTGTGGGTCTGGTCGAGTCAGGGCTTTCCTGGGGTTGCCCTCGTCCCGAGCTCCTCACTGTATTCACAGCTGCCCCAGGAATGGGGACTGGAGAGGTGACAAGCTCAGGTTCGTAACTATGACAACCGACACTGCAGGGACCACAGGCCAGTTGGGCTGGTGTCTGTGGCACAGAGGGAGCCCTGGCCTCCCTCTTCCTGGGCCTTTTGAAGAGCCCAGACTTGCAACCCGCAGCCCAGTGCATGTCCATAGCAACCAGAGGGAACTTGGTTAAAGCCAGGACCAGCGTCAATCGTGATCTCCATGGAAACAGGATGCTGGCATGGTCAGAGCAGCAACTGGGGAAGTAACCGGGCCGAGATGGCAGGGAGCGGGGCCTCCCAGGAATCTTGTGCACACAAGGCCAGCAGCGAGCCGTCCTCTCCCCCAGCGCGACCTCACCTTCCCCTGCTCCGAGTCAGAGGCGCTGTCCTGCACCCAGGTCCTCCGCGCCGGCCACATTCACTGCTGTCCACACACAGACTGCTGGCCAAGGATGCCCTTCCTCGCTGCCCCTTGACCACCAGACTCGCCCTTGAAGCTCGGCCCGGCAGGCCTCAGCGCCTGGCCTCTGCCCGTCTCCACCTGGCCCCACCTGCCGAGTCCCTCTTCCCACCACCAGAGCTCTGGAGGGGGCGCTGTCTTGGTTGAGACCTGCAGCCGGCTGGCTCCGTCTGCGAAGAGATGCTTCGGGTGACGTGAAAGGCTTTCCCCACGGAGGCAGACGCGCTGACTGGAAGGGGGAGGCGGGGAGAGCTCTGTGGTCCCGCAATGGCGTGACCTTTGAACCTTCAGAGACCTAGTGTGGGGTCGAGGCCAGGCTGGGCAGTGCGTCCTGAGTGGGCAGGAGCTCGGCTGGGACTCACCCTCCCACGAATGTTCTGGGACAATCAATCAAAATGCTTTGAAAGGGACTCCTGAACGCGTATTTCCTCTGTACGCTGGCAGAGGCGTAGCCACAGGTAACCCCGCTGGTCGGGGCAGACGCTCCTGAGGCTGTTTCCACGGTCTCACGGGGGCTTACGCCCTGATCCCCTCGCAGCCGGTGCCTTCTGGGGGGTGATGGGAAACGGCTCGTTATATAGGTGGGTTGTTTGGATGTGGCAGCCTTTTGCTTTTTACGGCTCCAAACTGCCGAGTGGCGAGAATGAACCCGGCAACCTGGTCAGATGCACAAACGGAGCCGCCTCTCTCCAGGGAGCACGGCCGCTGGCTGGCTCGGGGAGGGCGGGGAGGAGACGCAGCAGGTCCTGGCCAGCGGCCGCGCGGCCACGGCCCCTCTCCTTGGAGAAGCAGGACACACGCTCTTTGTTTATGGAGACTGGTTACTTGGGCTTTCTGTTACCTGAGGAACTTGGTTTGAGGCTGCTGCTCCCTCCAGGTCCACCAGACCACGGGGAACCGGAAACACAAGAGGCTGGCTCCACGGGCCAGGCCAGGCGAGCACAGCGCTCGCATTTCACTCGCTCCGCCGGCGTCGGCTCTGAACCAGGTGTGCTCTTACCTGGGGAAGGGCTCAGCCCACAGATCCTATCGCCACTGCTCTCGGAGGAGGAGCAGCCAGTTATTTCCATTCGTGGCAGTGGCTTCCTCAGCCCGCAGCTCCTGGCAGGCCCTGCAGCGCGTGTGGGAGGAGGGGCCGGTGGGCCTCTGAGGACGCCCGGGACCGGCCTGGCCCTGCGGCCCTCCGCCCGCGAAGGGGCTCTGCTGCACATGGAGACCCAGCAGCATCGCGTTTGGCAGCTCAAATGAGAAGATTCCCCTCCTTCCTCTACACTGAGCCTCTGCTTGTGGAACCTGCGCAGTGTTTCGGGGGCCGGGGCCCGGCCTGGGCGGCCGCCCAGTTGTGCAGTGGCTTTAGCCTGAGAAGCTGAGGAGCCCGCAGCAGCAAGAGGAACTATGGGAAGCACTGCCTATGGCCGGAGCGCGACTGGTGTGCACTCACACAGCGGCCAGTCTCCGGGAGGTCATGCCTCCCGCCCCCAAGACACGGCCGGGTGGCAGTTATTTTGTTGGGATTCCCAGCATCCCCTAGGGCAGTGATGGCGAACCTATGACACACGTGTCAGAGGTGACACGCGAACTCATTTTTTTGGTTGATTTTTCTTTGTTAAATGGCATTTAAATATATAAGATAAATATCAAAAATATACATCTTTGTTTTACTATGGTTGCAAATATCAAAAAATTTCTATAGGTAACACGGCACCAGAGTTAAGTTAGGGCTTTTCAAAATGCTGACACACCGAGCTCAAAAGGTTCGCCATCACTGCCCTGGGGCCTAGGCTGTGAGATGGAGCAGCGGTCCCTCCTCCTCCCATGAATCACACAGGCCTAGCCCCTGTGTTCTCTGCACGGCTCCTAGACAGTCCGTGTGCACACTGTGACCTAAACCCCACTGGTGGCCGTGCCTGCCTTTCACCCTCAGCCCACAGGGGCTTTGAGCTACAGGGAGGGCAGGTCAGTGTCCATGTTTACATCCCCCCCAAAATCATGTCCCCTGTGCTCAGGGGGTCCCCTCACTCACTAGGGAGCAGGTCACCATTGGTCGGGCCTGAGCCCACCGCCCTCAGCCATGTGTGCCCTGAGCACAGGCATCATGGTGTGGCTTCCCGCCTGGGCAGTCGGCACTCACAGGATAGAGCTGTGGTTGTTAAAGGCCGGTCATCTTCCGAGGCCTGGTCACCAGGAAGCTGCCTGAGGCCCTGGTTGGAGAGCGCCGTGGAGAGCGTATCAGTACTAGTGCCTCTTCGCCGTCGGCGGTGCCCACTGGGCCCAGTGAGGACACAGCCTGGGAACACGGTGGGGTGTGCAGAGGCTGTAGAGCCAGCTTCTTGCCCCGTGAGTGAACGCTGGCCTCGGCCAGATGGGGAGATAGCGGGAGGAGGCCGGGCTGCTGGTTGCTTAAGATAGGGAGCTGGTTGTTTACAGGTGGCAGGGCGCAGCGAGCGGATAAAAAGCTGTGGACACAGAGGGAGGCAGCCGGGTCCCGCCGCTGAGCCCACTCTGCCCCATGCACACAGGACATCACTGGGCCACAAAAAGGAAATCTCGCCGTTTTCGACCACATGGATGGACCCAGAGGTATTGTGCTCAGTGACACGTCAGGGAAAGACAGATGCCATATGACCTCACTCGCTGCGGAATCGGAAGAACAAAGTGAAGCAACAGAGAAGGTGGCGAGGGGACACCGAGGTCTGCACGAGTGCACGGCACCCGGTGACGGTCACCCTCGGAAGGGGGGCACGGCTGTGACAGGACCGCCCAGAAGGGGCGCCGAGCGCGAGGCCCCCTCTGACCCGAGGAGCCTGTCTGAGCCAGGGGTGACCTACTTCTCCAGGAGCCCAGCCAGTTAGCCACAGACTTTATCTCCCATCAGACGGCTCGGAACGCGCTGAAATGTTGTAATCACCAAAGGACGAGAGCTGTGACCACGGGACCCGGAGGGCTGGTCAGTCCCTGGAACATGTGGTGCCTCCCTCGGCCGCGGGCAGCCGCTCAGCTGCCTGGGAAGGTGACTGACCCTGCCCGGGGCTGCCCGGCCTGGCTGCCCTCCCGGCTCAGCGGCTCGGCGCCCCACCCCCGGGACAGTGCCCTGCGCCGGGACA